TGAAATTGGTGTGATTATGTAGTCTTATTTTGACAAATAAAATGTGCAGAATTTTAAAATATTGTGGGCAGAATTTAAAAATTTTTGGCACAGAATTCCCCCAGGAGTACCATTGGTCAGTATGGCCATTGTTACGTTCCTATCTGACTCTTCATGTGCTTTAAGAAAGGTTTTTCTGAGGGTATAAAGGATGGTTGCATAACAAATGTTTCCTTGTTCTAGGTGAACCATAAACATCTGTTTGATTACTACTTGACTTTCATTAACGTTAAAAAGTACCAAGATTCAGAACTGGAAAACTGCTTTTCACAACACATCATTCAGAGTATCAAAAGGCTGACAAAAAGCAAGGTATAGCAGAATCTCTCTTTTTCCTCCTGTGTAGCACCTGCCTGACCTTCACTGAACAGAGGGACCAGAAGCCAGGAAATTCTGAGCTTTGTTCCCCACTCTGCTATGTTGGATGGTTTTGTGCATGTTTATTATACTATTGGTCACACTTTACATGAGGGGAACACTTACAAATAGATTATAAAGTGTTACTAAATGATTAATAAGTGTTATAAGGGGCAATTTTTTGGAGGGGCAAATAGTTTTTCTACCCCCAAAATGCATTTTTTTAAGCTCCAAAACTATTCACAAATTTGGGTCGAATTCAACAAATAGTTCTGGGGAGGGGAAAACTGAAAAAAATCATAAAAATTGAACATTTTCACTTTTTCAAAACATTGCGACTTTTCGTTTTGAAATGGCATTTTATTCTCAAAGTTGGTCAATTAAAAAGAAATACACGTGGACCAAAAAAAAGTGCGAAACATCCCAAAATAGCCAAATCAAAATGAAAAACTCAAAAACAATGCCTATTCAAGTCGACTAAAATGTTTCGGTTGATTTAAATCAAATCAAAACTCTTTAAACAGTGACAACACTGGGGGGGGGGCACCGCCGGAAAAGTGGGGGGGGCCGTGTGGGCCACCGCTAAAAGGGGAGGGGCCAACGTGGGCCGCGCCGACATGCGGGCCATCATGTGACCTACTTCGCCCCTCCCCTGCTTTTAAATAATTAAATTTTGAGTCAACTAGAAACTGTTTGATTCAAAATAGCATTTTCTGAGTTTTAAGTTCAACAAGAAACTTAATAAACAAAGGGGTTTTAGTTCAGCCCCTAAATTAAAAATCCATTATTCCCTCAGCTGTAGTTATATGTTACAGACGTGAGTAGTACTTTATACACTGGTACAAAAACATCAGCAGAAGAGGAGAGATCGTTTTAAGCTCTGTGTGTGTGTGTGTGTGTGTGTGTGTGTAAAATATCTCTACTCATGTAGTTAGAAAATATTCTTTCTTATAGAAGTCAGGGTTGAAAGAAATTCTTCGCAAATTTTCAAAGACGAACAAGCCAATTCTTGCACAAATCATATCTACTGTCATTGAAAATATGTGGACTGAAGAATTGAATCAAATAGAGAATGCTAACCGGTTTGAAAAGAACACAGCCGACGTTCTCATACAGCTACTCAACTCCTCCATGGGCTTGGATATTATCTCAGCTGTCAGTGAGTTTCTATATAGACATTTTGTTCTGATGACCTCAGAATGGGTTCAACTTATTGGGATCATAGTTAAGTGAAAAGGAGTTGGCTGGGTGCCAAATCCCACTAGTCGGCTATCTCCAGCTGTAGGTGCCTTAAATGCCTTTGAAAATCTGGCCCTTAGAGATCTTAAGACTAAAGCTGGGTAACATTTATTTAGACACAACTTTTTTTTTGGCAAAAAATATAGATTCAGCATCAACGTTTTATAAATTTGTGTCCATTTCACCAGATTGTTTTGATGGGGGGGAGGGGAGAATTGAAATGTTTCGTTTTGACATTTTGGAAAAAAAGTTTCAATTTTTGAGTTTGAAACAGCTGTTTATGTTGAAATTACCTTCAATTTTATAAAAATAAAATAGAAAAAAAACATTAAAAATGCACAAAGCCATAACAAAATGGTTTTGCCAGGAAATAAAATTATTTCAACTTTTTGATTCACCAAAAGTTTCAAAAAATTTCAATTTTGGGTCTACTCAAAATGATTTCCCCCCTGATTTTTTTGGAATCACCGGTGAACTGATAAATCTATTATTTGCCCAGCTCTACTTAGGAGTATGCAAGGGCTTATCATAATGCAGCTGAGTTGTCCCAGAGTAGTCAAGGAAGTGAGAAACAGTTAACATTTTCTGGGGTTTATTGTTAAAACAAAGAAGAAAACTCCAGTGCATTTTCTGAAATCGTTCCCAGCATCTCACTATATTTTTTGTATTTTGCAGAAAATTTGAAGCCCGAGGTTCAAAATCAAATCAGCAGAGATGCACGACAGTTGCTTTCAAAAGTGTCTGAGTTGTTCTCCTTTGTGGGTCGTAGTATATTTTCGGGAGACGTCTCATTCAATGTACTATCTGCCATTCTAAACCACACGGAGGAATTTGCCAAGATGCTGACTCTCATTGGTGAGTTTGCAGCTTCATACTTTTATTCCTAAGAAGCTCCTTAAACATATTAATTTTTATGTAACACAGTCAGAAAGGAAAAATGAATATAAAATGCAAACCCATATGTTATTGCAACTTCT